CTATATAATTTTACACGCATCAGGAACGGAAAGGAATGTTTCACCCCAAAATAAAAATCTCACCATTTACTCACCCTCATGTTGAACTAAACCTGTATGAGTTTCTTTTTTGTGTTGAACACATTAGAATATATTCTGAAGAATGTGGGTAACCATACAGTTTCTGGTTCCCAATGACTTCCATAGTAATTTTACCCCATACTATGGAAGCCAATGGCTAGCAACTGTCTGGTTACCATTATTCTTCAAACTATCTTTTGTGTTCAGCAGAAGAAAGAAACTCATACAGCTTTGGAACAATATGAGGGTGAGTAAATGGTGACAGAATTGTAATTTTTGGGTGAACTATCCCTTTAAGGTCATACAGATTTTAAAATGTTACAGCAAAACATGTACATGTTTTATATGTTTGTCCTCTGATGCTTGTGATGCATGATGCTTGTGTAGATGACCCAAAAAGCTATAATTTGGTTCACTGGTGCTTATTACATTTATTTAATCACCATGTGATTCGATGACCAGGGTTCATCCCTGCAGCAGGTTTTAATTTTTGAAATGCAAGCATTGGTATAATTGGTTTTCATTCCACATCTGATTTTATGAATCCAAGTGAGAAGATTTCAATAAGGATTCGCAAAACTATTCCAGAAGCCTCTCTCCTGGCAGTTAACTTGTGCTTGATAATAAACCGTATTTTTTTTATCAAAGATGTGCAGCCTTGGTGAGCATACTGTTAGAGACTTCGTTACAGTCTTACAGATAAAACGTCATTATATATACCATATTTCCATACAGTATTCATGAAAATGTACTCACATTGCATTTAAAAAAATTTTTTTCAAGTAGAATTATCTAACTTACGCTGAAGTAGTTGTTGTTGTTGTTGACCCGGACAATGTGTGCAGTTGCTGCTGATTTTGTTGACAATACTGGTAATGTTCTCAACTTTTCTGTCCACTATATCCTCCACATTTTGCAGATTGAGAAGGTTAAGTTCCTCCAGACGGCCCTGAAGGGAGTTAATCTGGGCACGTGCGTTCTTCAGGCTGATAGACATGCGGTTCATCTTCACCTGCATGTGTTGTACAATGTCATTATCACTGTTGTTCCCATTCTGGTAGACTCTCGTGCTGGTACCCCCTCGACTCTGCTCTGCGCTGTTTGTCGAAGGGTCTCCACTGTCCTTCTGCAAGTTGAGGTCCACTTGCTGCAAGCTGCACTCCAGACAGGAGCTCTTCAACCTGTTTACTGTCTCCTTCAAGCTTTGCAGCTCTTTCATGGTCTTCTCCAGTAGTCGGAATTGATTGGGAAGCTGAATGGTCAGCGGTGGCAGTGTGATCTGGTACGGGCACTCTTCCTCATCTTCACACTGCCCAGCTGGCTTCAGCCTCACCTGGGAGCAGCTGGAACCTCCTGACACCCTTTCCAGAACCCCAGAGGGGCCACTACCAGAAGCCTCTACCTCCTGCCAGACGGCTATCAGCAGAGAACAGCACACATACACCAGTTTCATGGTCTCAAATAAAGTGATCCAAACTGAGAGAGAGAGCTGAAGAGAACTGCCTCAAAGTGCAACAGCTTTGCCATTTATATTAAAGGAGAGAGAGAGAGAGAGAGAGAGAGAACGAAAGTGTGGGTGGGGCAGCTGTGCATTACATAATTGCACAGTCAACATCAACGCAGAAAGAATTTGGTGAAATAGGACTACTTACCCTTTCTCTTAAAACACAGCACTATGACTCAGTATTTAGGAATGATGTTTGTCTTTATTTTTTACCTTGAGTTTAATCTACAGTATATGAAACAATGAGCCAGATGAGCAATTCAAGTGCTGTGAAGGCACTATTTGGAGTTTTTTGTTAAATCAGAATTAGATTTAAAGTGAACGTTTTTTTCAGAAATGAACATTCTGTCATCATTTACTCACCCTCATGTTGTTCCAAACCTGTATGACTTTTCTTCTGTGGAACACAAAAGAAGAAAGTTTCTACTGTTTCTACTGAATGTTATATCTGAAAGAAAGCAAGTCATAGAGGTTTGAAAACATGAGGGTGAGTAAATAATGGTAAAATATTAACTTTTGTGTAAACTTGAAGAAAAAACAGTCATATTTCTTTCCATGTATTCCTGTAAATGCTGTGGTGGTCTGCAAAACATTGTCGTCATCATTAATTTATTCATACTGTCGTGTGTTTGCATTACGTTTGTATTGGCATAGGATCATTTGTTGTCGCAAAGCAGTGTTTTACTGTAGTATTGGCTGTAATACGAACATGCTTTGTTTGGGACTTTGGTGTAGTAAACTGTAGTAATTATTTAATCTTTAGCAGATGTGTCGAGACGTCTGCCAGAAATAGCTTCACAGTTTTGTTTTCGAGAGCTTTTTTTCCAATTGAATTGGTGCTGCAGTTTTCTGCATAAGTCTGTTATGATCAGTATACTCCATTTTTATATTCCTTTTTTTCCCCGTTGTAATAGATCAGCACAGAGACATGTTATCCAAACAGCCTATTGTAAGATGTGCTCCAGTGTCTTCCTTCAAAGCTGGTCCTCCACATGTGTGCCTCATGATTTCCCATAAACTTGACAGTAACTAGCTTTAAGTCTTCTGCCTTGGCTCGTTGCAGGAAGTCTCAAAATAAAAGTGCTATAAAATAGAAAATGATAACACACAAGCTGCTTCTCAAGAAAAATGTCCAGGAAATGTAAAAAAAAAAAAAACTTCTAGTGAATAGCATAACATCTTGATAACACTAGCGATGAAAATCTGAAATAATCATAAAGGTGTGGTCATATTTACTGTTGTTTTACAGATTTGTGAGGTGAAATCCAATCATTTCAATAGGAAGATTTTATCATAGAAAGATTTCCCCCACGCACATTTTGCATCGGTTCAAGTTGGTCACATGAATTTGCCACGCTGACCAACAGAAATCTGCTGGGTTTGAAAGTAACATGTATCGCTACATTATTGAAAACAGACCTTTTCTACAACTTTTGTATGACTGCATTTTAAGACAGTACAAACATATTTAACAGTACGAGCCTGGTTTTCATTTGCATGTTTATAAGTTAAATTAAGCTTACATCAAAGCAGTTAATATTAATGTGAAAGATCTTCAACATTAGATGGATCCCAGCCCTGCACAGAAAGTATATAATCTTCAAGTCTGGAAGAGATTTACTGCATATCTGAGATACGAGCTCTCAAAACTTGTGTTTGTTTGTCTCCACTATAAAGGAGAAACACACCTTCAGACTTTCTGTTGATAATCAGAGATGCTTATATAGAAAACGTCAACTTCAGTGGTCAGATAAACAACACTCAAAGCTTAGATCCATCCTTTCCATGCTACAGTTCAAAAGTTAGCATGTGGATTCGCTCTCAGATGCACCTGGAATGAGTCTCAGCAAATTCCCATGAACCTGTTTAGCATTGAAATGCATTTAAGCTACTGTTTATTTAGCTGTTGGATCGTTGATAGTTCTTTTTCATCTTTGTCCTCAGCTGTTCTCCATGGGAAAGATCAGTGGGGAGAAAGTGGCTTGTCTTAGGGCCAGTTTCAACTTCTTACATGAAACTCTGAGAAGTTCTCAGGAATCTGAAATGCATCTGCTGCAGGAGGCGAAGGCCTTACGCACCACGCTAGAGCAGCAGAAGCAGGAGCTGGAGAAGGCCGAGCTGTTTCCTGAGGGACCGGACAGACGCTTCTGCAGTACTACTACCAGCTGAAGGAGGATGAAGAAAGAGAATACCAGATGCAGTTCCAATTTGAGTGGTAAGATGCTCTGCAGGACCACTCCAAGATGTGTGGCTATGCTTAGGCTCCATTTAAAATATGTAGAAGGAAGAGGTGTTTGGCATGTTTTAATGAAGACTTGCTGTGACTTGCAGACCGAAAGGTACTTTATCTGCATCCCTCTGAACACTTGCCTCCTCGTGTCCCGAATACAAAATCACACCTCCAAAATGCATGATGTATGCTGAGTCATGGCTCACACTCCTGCCAGACAGTGTTTGCTGACCTTTTTCTAAGTGACATTTGCAACAAACATATGTGAATAAGTTTAAAAAAGGGCAAAAGCTACTAATAATCTTAAGTCAGGCCTGCAATATTTTGGTGAGGTAAATTTGTGTCCCATTTTGGTGTGGTAAATTTTAGATTGATCAAAACCTCACTGCTTGCATGAAATTATATGTTAAAGGTGCCACAATAAATAAACAAATACAAAATTTCTAATTGACAAAAAGCACCAAATCATAACTATTTCAAATCAAGAATTTACTGATTGTGTTAACATTAATGTAAACATTAATTTTATGATTAAGAACTTCTAAAACGTCTGAGAACCACTGTACTAGAGGTGTATTTTATGTATGTCAGTTGGTCAGACGGGCATTCGTACTGCAGGCATATTACAGCCAGATGTAGTTTCTACACATATGGCTATTACAGCATGTGCTGAGTGGGTCCTTCATCCTTAGCCAAACTAACATGGATTCACATTGCATAGCATGCTTTTGCTCACTGTAATCTCCTTCTTTTTTGGGGCAGTTCAGTTTATGCTGACAGCAGTACTGCACTCAGCTTGAATATTTGTACACATGGCCTCAACGTTTTGAACAGTTTTATTTAAAATGTTCAATAACCCTAGCCACATTTTTTAATTGTGAAATATCCTGTGTGCTTAAAAATGATTATTTAGCAAGTTTATATCATGCATATTTGAGTTCCTTTTTGTATGAATTGCTTCATATCTTGATTCTATTCATGTCCTGATTTCTGTCAAATTCTTGAAATTTGTTTCATATAATTTTATTTCCCCTTTTTAGTAAAAAAAATAAGCAGAAATTGTATCAGCTCCTTTATTTTGTTTCAAAATACTGTTTTATTTTCATGTTTAAATGGGAAAAACATCCCATTTGGTCACAAACGTTTGGATCTCACTGTATATATTTTTGTTGTCCTGTATATCCTCAGGAGCTAGAAAATAGGTACATGGCCCTGAAGAATAGTTGTGAGGAGGTGAGGAAAGAGGTGGTTCAGCTTAGACAGGAAGTGAAGACGTTAACTGAGAGCATGGAGACTCAACAGAAACATATAAAGAAAGAACAACATGAGTTGGAGAATTTAAAAGATCTTGTTGAAAGCAATGCGGAAGCAGGACCTGTTAATCACTAAGCTGAAGTATCTGTCCTGTGAACTTTGGGATGTGGATTTCACATGTTAGCAATGTCTTTCACCAGGCTGAGCTGGCTCAGGTGCTTCTCATACCTGTTCAACTGGGAAAGGAGATCAACAGGGTCGCCCACAAGAAATCGTATTTGTGTCTTGTTCCTGCATAGTTTCACAAAACAATGGAAATATTTGACTGACTAACCCACTGTATCTGTTTGCGTGTCATAGGGAGCTGGAGAAGCAGGTTGCAGTAATAGAGCAACAACGTATGGAGCACACGGAGCATCAGCAGAGGATGGAGGCTAAGTGCAAGGAGGTGAAGGAGGCCAAAAGAGAGGTGGTACGAGAACTGGAAGGCCACAAGTCTTGGCTGGTGACTGCAGAGAACATACAAGACAGACTCCTCAAAGAACTGCAGATGACCAAAGAAAAAGAGGCCATCTTCATGGATCAAAGGTTGTAATCTCAGAGTTTCTTGCCAGATGGATTAGGATTCACATCAGAACTCTACTCTGACAACACCCAAAATGTTTCTGAGATTAAAGACCCTTCAGAAGAAACCTTCAAAAGACCCATTTGTAAAATATGTAAATAACACTTGAAAAAAGAGGATATGTTTTGGGGGTTGGAGGAAGAAATCTGTTTGCAAAAGAAGTCATATAGCTGTGTTATAAGACAAATAATTTTTTTTTTTAGTAAATCTGTGGTATTGATTGTTTTGGACTACAGGGGTCTGCTTGACATCAACATGGAGCAGATTGTTGCTGAGTGCAAGTCTCTGTGTGATAAACTGGCTCGAGATACACGGCTGAAAGACAAGTTTATGCGAGCCCTGAAGAGGAATGAACTGCAGCTGAAACAGGCCACAGACTCTCTTGCTAACACTCAACAGCAACATGAGAGGACCCAGGCTCAGGTGACTCAAAACACATCTAATTTCTTATAATGATAATGATAATAATAAATAATTATATCAGTGATCATACTGTAAGAGTGTTTTCAAGATTTGCCAGGATTTGGCAACACAAGAATGATGTTTAGTGGAAATTACTGCAGAAGCAAATATTTTGTGACGTCCTACATTTCAGAATTGCTGTGAAGCCATTTCTTTCTCACGTTATGTAGATAAAGGCTGATCATGGTTATTTTATAATAACAGGAACTATTAGTTCCTTAGCATTTTAGAGATTTTTGTTACATAAGACACATGGCCTGGTAGCACGTGTGTGCAAATATCCAGTTCCCCCATAATTTTCTGTCTGCTTTTCAGCTGCCTTTTCATTACAATGGAAAAAGGTCCCCAAAAAGAGACACTTAAATTGAATGATGTTTTCTTAAATGTTATGCTGACATAAAGCGTATAGTAGCTGTCATGAATTACATTTGGTAAGTTGATGTCTTGTGTTTTGACATGCTGTACTCTATATAAAACTATTTTAAACAGCATTATGGTAATATATGGTAACATCATAGTTTTATAGTTAGTATGCATGCTAGTATGCATTTTATGAGCTAATATTAATTGAGAACCTACCATGAATATTTTTTCTTTTATAAATTATTTTATCACACCATTTAGTGAAGGTACAAAGGTGATCTTTGAAAAAAGTTACAGGACCTAAAATACATGTTCTCTTATAGACCATAAAGAAATAATTTGCTTGTTATATATATTGTTTATTTTTTTTGTATAGAGAGAGACAGTCCCAGATGGTGACTGCTTGTTGCAGAGAAGAAGAGATCTGGAAAAGGAAGTGGAAAACCTAAAACGCAGTTTGATTAGCAAGGTATGTACAGTACATTATGACAAATGGCTTTCAGTTGACATAATGTCTGAGTGGTGTGGCAAGATACATTACAAAATGAGTTTGTGTCCACTTGTATGTTTTCATGTGTCTATGTGTGAGAGAGTAGCAGTCTGGTAGGGCTGAAGGTCCAGCTGGTTCAAGAGTATGTGGAACAGGAACAGGCTTTGATTAGAGAGTCCTATCGCCGTAGAGATGAGCTTCATCACCTTCATCATCTCATAATTATCAAAGCAGATGAAAGAGAGCAGAAGAGCCGTGAGCTTCTCAAAGCACAGTGATTTTCACTACAGGGGGACTTTAAGCCCTTTACCTATCCAAAATATTTACAGCAGGGTTCCTCAAATCTGCGCTGCAGAGTTTATTTCCAACCCTGATCAAACTCCTGTGATTTTCTAATGATCCTGAAGACATTGATTAGCATGCTCAGGTGTGTTTGATTATGGATAGAGCTAATATCTGCAGGAAAGTGGATCTCGTGGGCCAGATTTGAGGATCCTTGATTTACAGAATTGTCATTTTTGGGTGAGCTATTCTGATATGCTTGATGATTGATATGATTGTTGTTGCAGCTAAAATATAAGCGTGTCAAGCAAGATCTGCAGGGGAAAGGACTGGTTATTCAAGAACACTTGAAACAGACTCAAGAGACCCAGTCAAGGTACTTACTGGTGATTGACACATACTCTATAGACAGGCTGAAATAGAGCTGAAACTTTTGCCTAATTTAGAAAGAATCAAGTTTGTTAGCCTGTAGTCTGTTATGTAAAGGTGTACTTAAATGTTTTCTTACCCTCAACAGGCTGGGTGTGTTTGCTAAACTGTATGAAGTCACCAAGGGCGAGCGGAACAAATACCTGAGCCTGATCCACATCTCAAACCAGAACCTGGCAGAGGTGCAAGAGAAGCTGGCCAAACTGGAAGAAAATCTTAAGACACTGCAATCGATTGTTATCAACAAAGACAAGTACTGGAGCTCTCACGTTATATGTTATACCTATTATTATAATTTTTTTTTGCATACTACAATCTGACTACACCACACTATAAGATAACGTTTGGTTAACGTGCTTGGTTTCACTCTAGGATGCTGCAAAAGTCCCGTCTACAACACTCTCACAGCTACAAGCTCAGAGACCGTATGAAGAATCAGATCTCAAGGGTGTTACAGGTTCTGCAAGAAATGCACCAGAAACGAGAGGAGAAGAAATTGAACCTCGGCAAACTCTCGGAGGCAATCAACATGCTGGAGCAAAAAAAGTTGCATATGTGCAAGAGCTACGAGGCTGCCATGCAAGAACGCACCCAGTGGTGGGAGAGTTATAAGGTCTGTCAGGTGAATTCTTACCGTCTGGGGTGGCATTTGCACTATAACTTTATATCTGTGTTTGTGTTGTCAGGGCTGTGCAGCTTGTAGAAAAAGAGCAGGAATTGTGTATTTTCTATGAGAAGCTAAATGTGCTGGTGAAAATGATTGAAGACAGCAACCTGAAGATACAGAACATGGAGGATGAAATCAGCAACCTGAAAATTGAACAGAAAGACCAAGAAAGACAGAACAACCTTCTCATGAAACAGTTCTCCAGTAAACGGGCACTAGAGGAAGAAAGCATCTTATTACGGATACAGGTACCTCCATCTAAATTCTGAAACTACTGTGCAACCTTTATTTAAAACAACTATGAAAAAAAGGGGGTCTTCCAGCTTTTGCATCAGATTGGGTGAAGCAGCCAAAGAGATGATCTGTCACAGATACATAAATCAAAAAACAAATTCCAACAATATAATCAGAGTAAACAAACACACTATAATGCAGTGGAATGTAAGTAAAGGTTAGATTGTATATAATTTTCCAAACATTTATTGCCATCTAAGGTGGCACACATACTCACAGATGTGCTCTTTTTACCATTTATAGTTCCTTCTAAGAGATAAAAGTGAAATAAACCATCTTAGCAAGAATCTCCTTGATAGTTTTATACCGCTCTGTGTTTAATCAACAGAGTCTCTTCATATAAACATCTACTGCATCAGTGCAGATAAAATAAACACTTAAATATTAGATTGTGTTACTAGTTCTCATCCTTGCTGTAGGGCTTAAAGTCAGGGGTAAAAACATATTATGTCCTCAGACACTGTGTGCAATGCCAAACTATAGTTCAAGTCCAATATTTTTCACTACATTTACATTTGTCACAAATTCCACATAATACTGATGTGGAGAAACACTTCCTGAAGTCCAAACACATTATGGCTACATTGAAAATATCAGCTACACTACCATTCAAAAGTTTGCGGTCAGTAAGATTGGTCATTAAATTGATCAGTATTGACAGTTAAAACTTGAATAATGTTACCAATTGTTTTTTTAATAAATGCAGTTTTTTAACTCTCTATTCATCAAAAAATTCATGTATCATTGTTTCCACAAAAACATTAAGCATATTCAGCTTTATTAATAATAATAAGAAATGTTTCTTGAGCACTCAATCAACATATTAGCCTGATTTCTGAAGGATCATGTGACACTGAAGACTGGAGTAATGACAGCTGAAAGTCCAGCTTTTCCATCACAGGAATAAATTAAATATAAGACTTCTTTCAAGAAGATTAAAGCAGAAACATAGGATTAATTAAGACTCAGACCCCAAACATTGTCTTCACCGTCCCTCCTTCTGTTACTCTAATTCATTAGATTGCTTAAGAAGGCTTTTATTAATCAGCTTGCGGGAACTAAAAGATGACTTTTATCTCCAGCCCTTGGCCTGTCTGTTGTGGGCGCATGCTGGTGTGTTGGCTCAAGTGTCGCTCTTCCTGGCTGTAGTCTTACATAACACTGATATCTTGCAGGTCTCTCCCAAGTCCACTTGGACATCTAACTTGTATTTCAGCTTTTCCTCTTTGTTGAGATGCATAACACTGGGTGTTAACCTGGCGGAGCCTAAGAGTCATTTTTAGATTATAATGTACAGTATAGGCAAATGATTAAGACATCATTTAACAATCCAGTTAGGTTGGCTTTATGTTTGTGAAGACATTTCCAATCATTTGGCCTTAAATTGAGCACAACAAAACAAGTACCACACCTCATGTCGACAGCAGATGCAATGTAATCTTTAGTGACTGAAAAGCACAATGACACATCTGCCACCATCCTGACGCCGTTTATCCAAATGACTCACAGAGGGATACAAACACACAATACTCACAGCCTGTGCATCTGTGTAATGAGAGCAAAGGGGCTTTAAATGAGTCCACTGTTTTAATTGTGTCCTGATGGTGCGGCTGTTTTTTTTTTTGTGCCATAGCTGTCTGAGATGAAAGACAGACTGACTGAGCTTGAAAAGGCTTTTGTGAACCAAACCAGAGCAAGAAAACTGAGTGGAAAAGATCCGTCTCCTGAGGAGCTCATCAAGAAGATTGAACAGGTACAGTTAAAGTCCACATAACGGGAAATATTTGGAGGTTAATGCCTTGCTTGGCAGGGACCCTCCTGTTGGTCAGAATTTATTTTTATTTGTAACACTTGATTCTATATGCTATTTTTTATTTAATAATTATATAATAATAAATAATTTTATAAATAATAATACATTTGTGCCCTCTAGAAGCTTGCGTTCTGCAAGTGAACGTCGCTTTATTGTGCCATCCCAAAAAGGCGCAAAACCACTTTCACAGACTTTTCAATTAATGTACAAAATATTTTATTGCATAAAATGAGATGATGCTGACTTGGTTATAACTGAATTTTTAAAGGGTAATAATTTCTCAATTTAATCTAATCTATTTTTTTTTCTAAAACATGATTTCTTATGCTATTACATTATTTAATAATAATATAAATATTATTTTTTATAAATGTTGTATAAATATTATTATTAATAATTATTTCTATTCTAGACCTAGTTTGTTATACATATATTTGTACAACATATACAGTATCTCACAGAAGTGAGTACACTCCTCACATTTTTGTAAATATTTTACAGTGGTGTGAAAAAGTGTTGGTCCCCTTCCTGATTTCTTATTTTTTTGCACGTTTGTCACACTTTAATGTTTCAGATCATCAAACAAATTTAAATATTAGTCAAAGATAACATAAGTAAACACAACATGCAGTTTTTAAATGAAGGTTTTTATTATTAAGGGAAAACAAAATCCAAAACTACATGGCCCTGTGTGAAGAAGTGTTTGCCCCCCTGTTAAAACTGTGGTTTATCACACCTGAGTTCAATTTCTCTAGCCACACCCAGGCCTGATTACTGCCACACCTGTTCGCAATCAAGAAATCTCTTAAATAGGACCTGCCTGACAAAGTGAAGTAGACCAAAAGATCCTCAAAAGCTAGACATCATGCCGAAATCCAAAGAAATTCAGAAACAAATGAAAAAGAAAGTAATTGAGATCTATCAGTCAGAAAAGGTTATAAAGCCATTTCTAAAGCTTTGGGACTCCAGCAAACCACAGTGAGAGCCATTATTCACAAATAACAAAAACATGGAACAGTGGAGAACCTTCCCAGGAGTGGCCGGCCGACCAAAATTACCCCAAGAGCACAACAACATCCAAAGAACTGCAGGCCTCACTTGCCTCAGTTAAGGTCAGTGTTCATGACTCCACCATAAGAAAGAGACTGGGCAAAAATGGTCTGCATGGCAGAGTTCCAAGACGAAAACCGCTGCTGAGCAAAAAGAACATAAAGGCTCGTCTCAGTTTTGCCAGAAAACATCTTGATGATCCCCAAGACTTTTGGGAAAATACTCTGTGGACTGACGAGACAAAAGTTGAACTTTTTGGAAGGTGTGTGTCCCATTACGTCTGGCGTAAAAGTAACACTGCATTTCAGAAAAAGAACATCATACCAACAGTAAAATATGGTGGTGGTAGTGTGATGGTCTGGGGCTGTTTTGCTGCTTCAGGACCTGGAAGACTTGCTGTGATAAATGGAACCATGAATTCTGCTGTTTACCAAAAAATCCTGAAGGAGAATGTCCGGCCATCTGTTCGTGACCTCAAGCTGAAGCGAACTTGGGTTCTGCAGCAGGACAATGATCCAAAACACACCAGCAAGTCCACCTCTGAATGGCTGAAGAAAAACAAAATGAAGACTTTGGAGTGGCCTAGTCAAAGTCCTGACCTGAATCCTATTGAGATGCTGTGGCATGACCTTAAAAAGGCGGTTCATGCTCAAAAACCCTCCAATGTGGCTGAATTACAACAATTCTGCATAGATGAGTGGACCAAAATTCCTCCACAGCGCTGTAACAGACTCATTGCAAGTTATCGCAAACGCTTGATTGCAGTTGTTGCTGCTAAGGGTGGCCCAACCAGTTATTAGGTTTAGGGGGCAAACACTTTTTCACACAGGGCCATGTAGTTTTGGATTTTGTTTTCCCTTAATAATAAAAACCTTCATTTAAAAACTGCATGTTGTGTTCACTTGTGTTATCTTTTACTAATATTTAAATTTGTTTGATGATCTGAAACATTAAAGTGTGACAAACATGCAAAAAAAATAAGAAATCAGGAAGGGGGCCAACACTTTTTCACACCACTGTACTTAAGTATATCTTTAATTGGACTTCAGCACTACTTACGCATAATTAAAGTTCATTCAATACAAAATTAGTTGTTCCAATTTAGCAGACTTAAGGTATACCAGTTTAGTATACCAACAGTACAATTTCAGGGCATTTTTTTATTAAGTACATAGATATTTAAATGTATTTGTAGTATACTTAGCATGAAATAAATGTATTTCAAATACATTTTAGTATATTTATTTTTCACTAGGGTTCCGATCTGGCTTCATCCAATCAACAACCAATGGATAGAAACAAGTCCTCATCCCTACAGTTTTTTTCATCCTTTTTGATAATACATTTTATTCAGATGTGCATCACAGTTTGGAACAAATAATGATGCTTGCGGTGCAATATTTGACCGGAAGGGTAAAAATTACATGTATTTTCCTCAGTTACAGCTAGTTAGAGCTAGCCTGCTTCCAATCAGACACAGAGATGAAGTAGTGCAGTAAGATCACATTTGTTTGAATGAATTATAGCATTTATTTCAATTAATTATTGATCGATTGAGAGATAGAGAGAGAGAGAGAGAGAGAGAAAGAGATGAAAAGTTGGTTTGTAATTCCCTGCATCTGCATGTAACTACCTGCATCTCTCTCTACAAACAATGAAGCTGTAAGTTTAGTTACTTCAAAAACAGTGATTTTACCTCCTTGTTGCTGAGAAATATAATGTTGCAATTCAGCAGTGTTGACAACAAGTTTCTGTGGATGTTTTTGTGTGTGCACAGCACAATCTGCAATATCTGTGTGCAGGTGATGTGTGTGCATCAATTAAAACAGCGCATTAACATAGAATAGTGATTAAACTGACTTGGATCTACCTGTGCATTAAACAGTTTTAACAGCAATTAAAAAATCAGTTCAAATCGGCAATAATGAAATCACATCTGGATTGGATTGATATATTAATAAAAAAAAAAACTAACTGGGGGGGTTATACATACATACCAATACATACCCTTTTGATTCTGCCGTATTGTTTTCTTATACTATATGAGATGCAACCCTATACAGGTTTGTGATTTTTTTTCAGACTATCTTTTGTTGTTTAAGTCCTGTTTAAAGAATGCAGATAGGCTGTGGCTTTCTGAAATATTTGTAAATGTCAGAAAGAGGCCTGTGGGAATAAACGAAAAGAGAACATGGGCAGACATAAGTATCACACGACCTGTCTGCTGTGGTCAGTCCTCTTCCAATAATCCAGAGGTCAGTGTTCCTTCCTTCTCAGGCCGACCCACATTTACACACTTCAGTGAAACTCCCAGTAATTTGGACATTTTCACTTTGGGGTGTACTCACTTTTGTGGCCAGTGGTTTAGACATTAATGGCTGTGTGTTGAGTTATTTTGAGGGGACAGCAAATTTACACTGTTATACAAGCTGTACACTCACTACTTTACATTGTAGCAAAGTGTCATTTCTTCAGTGTTGTCACATGAAAAGATATAATAAAATATTTACAAAAATGTGAGGGGTGTACTCACTTCTGTGAGATACTGTATATTTGTTTAACAGATTTCATTGAGGCAATGTTGACTTAATTTTATTAAATCTAATAGATAATTTCTCAATGTAATCTAATAAAAATTTATCATAATGAGAATGTTATCAACTGATTAAATAAAAATATCTCATAAAATACTACAATCTAATGACTACACAGGGTGTATTTTATATAGTTAGAAAAATATGCACTCGTATAGATAAAAAATCAAAAGGAAAAGTTAATGTCACTCACTGGTGTGTGTGTGTGTGTGGGTGTGTTTAGTTAGAGGTGCATTTGGCAGATAAGGAGATTCAGCTCTTGGAAATGGAGCTTGTGTATGAGCAGGTTACACGCCTTTCCCAGCGCTTCCAAATCAAAGCTGAGAATGGTAAAGAAGACACGCTGCATCTGGCTAAGAAAGTAAGTTTACACACACTGCACAGCAACATGGTTGATTTAGATCAGTCCTCAAATGGTTTTGCTTCAGGACTCAGAATTTACATTGGATCTCACGTAGTAACCCACAATACTTGATGCTTCGACACCCTGCAGACCTCATGGTCTCCAAAAAACATCAGCTGCCCACATTAATGAACCATAGCAAGCTCTCCTGCTTCTTAACAAATCCTTCAGATTGACTAAACCCTTAAACGAATGTACTCTGTTACTGTAAACACACAAGGTCATGAAGCCAGGAGTTTTAGCAAATTCATTTAGAGTGAGTTTGTGTTTTAGGTGAACGAGCTGCAGGCTCAGATCAGGGAGCACACTTGTAAAATGATCGCGGTGGTAGCAGAGCTGTCCATGCGACAGGCAAAGTGTATGACCCTACAGCAGGAGATGACAGACAAGGAACTACAGCTGGACTGTCAGAGGCGTGTGGAGCAGGGCATGCCCCCCTCAGATAGCATAGAGGACGAGTGGCTGCGTTGCCTTCAAGATCAGCACAGACGCCAGGCAGACGCAGAGAAAAAAGCCAGGGTAAGCTTCCAAAAAGCACCAATGACTCAAATCTTACAGTAAACACAGTTCCTGTTGATCATTAAATATGAAATTATGGGTCACAAAACCTGTCAAGTACGTCCATATCTAATTTCATGAATCAGATTAAATAAGAAATTATATTTTGCATAAAGAAAATGAAGTTTATTGTTAGGATTAAATTGTATTTTTTTGACAGTATTTTCATCACAATTACACATATGCCTCTCCCCATTTCTCATTACCTCTTAAACTGTTATGAAAAAAAAAAA